AAGAAAAGAAAAAAAAAAAAAAAAAAAAAAAAAAACACTAAGCCAACTCCTGCAATAACCCATTCCGCTTATAAATACCCACAAGCCATTCTCTCACGACACACGTCCACCTCTAGACACTTCCATTCCTCCTTTCTACAAAAATGAAGTTTTTCATGCTCACAACTCTGTCCCTCTTTCTCTTTTCTTCTCTTTTGGCAATACCCCAAACATCTTCATGGCCCTTCACTCTCCTCTTCTCACTCTTATCTCTCTCCCCCTTCCTTCTAAACCTCTGGCTTGTTCCCGGTGGCTTCGCATGGAGGAAACACCATATACACTCCCCGAACCTCCGCGGTCCGTCCGGATGGCCTATACTTGGCACTCTGCCTCAAATGGGCTCACTAGCCCACGGTAAGTTAGCTTCCATGGCTGCTTCTCTGGGTACTACTAGGCTCATGGCATTCAGTCTGGGCTTCACACGAGTGGTGATCAGTAGTCACCCCGATACTGCTAGGGAAATTCTTAGCGGATCGTCGTTTTCCGATCGTCCGATCAAGGAGTCCGCACGTGCTCTGATGTTCGAGCGCGCCATTGGGTTCGCTCCCGCTGAGAAATACTGGCGTCACCTGAGAAGGATCGCTGCCAACCACATGTTCTCCCCCAGGAGGATTTCCTCCCTGGAGGAGCTTCGGCAGCGGGTGGCTAATGAAATGCTGAAAGGAGTATGGAAGACGGCGGAGGAGAAAGGGGTGGTAGAGTTGAGAGGGATATTACAAAAGGGTTCTTTAGAGAACATTTTAGAAAGTGTGTTTGGAAGTACCGTAATTTCACTACGGGAGGAGTTAGGAGTAATGGTGAGAGAAGGGTATGAACTGATTTCAGAGTTTAACTGGGAGGATTATTTTCCGGTGAGGTTTTTGGACTTTTATGGGGTGAAGAGAAGGTGCCATGAGTTGGCGGGAAAAGTTAGGGGTGTTGTGGGTAGGACTGTGGAGGAAAGAAAAAGGGCGGCGGCGGCCGGAAATGGTGATGGATTGGGTAGTGGAAATGACTTCCTTAGTGCTTTGCTATCATTGCCGGAAGAGGATCGATTGAGTGATTCAGATATGGTTGCCGTTTTGTGGGTAAGTATTTTTTTCCCTTTTTTTTATTTTTATTTTTTTATTTAAAGATGGGTAAGTGTTTTTTTACAACATTTATTTCTAAGTTTCATTTTATTGTGAAAACTAAAACTGATTTTAAATTAAGGGAATGATGCATATAAATTTAATTAAATTAACCCCTTATGTATATATATTTAAACAAAATTACCCCTTATAGTAAATAGAGTTTATTTTACTAATAAAATTATGTATTTTAAATTATATCAAATGATAAAATAAAAAACTTTATTTTAATTTTTATAATAAAAATTTATAAAACGGAGATAATAATTTCAGAATATACTAGAATATAAATTAGTTCGATAATATCTTAGACTATTATATACATGTGCCATTTTCAGAATCTTGCCTTTTTCTTTTCGTTTTTGGATTTGACAGTGATTAATCATTCCTCTACCATTGCCTCAGTTAAGCCTTAGCTGTAGATACAAAGATTCAAGACTGTTTTTCCTAGCTTTCAATTTTCCAGCTCAAAAAGACCCAATTAGTCATTTCTCATTGACAAACTAAAAAAGTTCCTAAATTCAGATATTCGGACATATAAATTCACAGTGACAAGACAACATAGTGGATAGAATTTAGGATTGTCTTCTTAGTTTCCATTAGACTTCCATTTTCTTCTTTTGTCATTTGTCTCGAATAAATTTTAAATGAGATTTGTTCTCACCTTATCCAATCCAAAGGGGTAAGTTGTCAGGGAACAGTTTTTGTTATCTCTAACGAGACTAATAAAAAAATGAGGTTTTTTTTTTTTAATAATTTGATGTAGTATAAATTATATAATAATTTTTTAAAAATATATATTTTAATAACAATATTAATTATTAAATAGAAACTTTTCACTAATATTATAATTTATTCAAACAATCCTGTAACATGATAGATATAAAAAAATATTATATTAAATAAATAAATATTAAAAAGATTTTAAAAAAGTGCAGAACCATATATCTTATGATTTTATAACTACATATTAATAAGAGATGCGACTCTCCTTAATTACAAAATGGACAATTTGCACAGAACATGCTGCAAAACTGCAGACTTATAAAGTTTACTGAATTAATTTTTGTGGCTGACGGATTTTTTTAATAGGAAATGATATTTCGTGGTACGGACACAGTGGCAATTCTTCTCGAATGGATCATGGCAAGGATGGTTCTCCACCAAGACATACAGACGAGGGTCTATCAAGAGATAGATGCCGCCGTCGGTAGCCGCCGCTGTGTGCATGACTCCGACCTCCCAAATCTCCATTACCTCCAGGCAGTTGTGAAGGAAGTTCTCAGGTTGCATCCTCCTGGCCCCCTCCTCTCATGGGCCCGCCTCGCCGTCCATGATGTCCACGTGGGAAAGTTCTTCGTGCCAGCTGGCACCACAGCAATGGTCAACATGTGGGCCATTACTCATGACCCGTCTATTTGGAAAGACCCGTTGGAGTTTCGACCCGAGAGGTTTATAGAAGAGGAGGTGTCTATCATGGGCTCGGACTTGAGGCTTGCGCCTTTTGGGTCGGGCCGCAGGGTGTGCCCTGGCAAGGCACTGGGCTTGGCCACCGTGCAACTCTGGCTTGCGCGGTTGCTCCACCACTTCAGGTGGCTTCCGGCTGCGACAGTTGATCTTTCAGAGACTTTGAGGCTTTCACTTGAAATGAAGAAGCCATTGGCGTGTCGGGTCCTTCGTCGAGATAGCCCAATTATCCCATGAACCAAAAAATCGTTATGTAAAAAGTCCCCAAACAAAAAGTATGTATTAGGGTTGCTCTGTTTTTTTTTTTTTTTTGGTTTGGACCACTTAGTATTTAGAAGCCTACTGGGCCACCGACTAAACTAGATTCGAGCCAAACATGACCCAACGGGCTGCAAAACTCTCCCTTATGAGTTTTAATGGAACTACATTCGCAAGGTTTGAAACTAAATCCTTTAGTTAAGTTGAAAGAATCCCTTGTCAACTCATCCATTCACTCATGGGTATGTATTAGAGGTTTATTCATTAGAACAACCCCTAATACATACCCATGGGCGGGTGGATGAGCTGATAAGGGACTCTTCCAGTTTAACTAGATGTTTTGGTTCCTTCACATTAGGGGTTGTGCTAATGAGAAAAGATGTAAATATTAACTAATTAAGTGGTGTGAAGTGGCCACTAAGCCGGCCTTGAATAATCGTCTAATCTTATTATTTCCTTTACTCTATTTCAAAAATTATTCTTTCACTATATTACAACGTGGATGAAAGTCATGATCTAAAATGAGATGGGCACAGGTCGAATTAGTTCTTTTAATGAATGGGTTGGGTTTGTAGAGAATATGTTAAATTTAACCTTGAGCATGATGAGAAATTTACTTTAAGTTGCATAAGGGCCCCTTATGTTGTATTTATTTATTTATTTGGAACCTTGGGATTATATTAGTTAAATAACTTCTGAAATCAAGATTTATGTCACATCAAAAGTTAAAAAATTATCAATAGCAATCGTAGTAATTTCTATATATTAATTGTTGAAAGTCATATTAACTTTTTGAGGTGAGATATTAGCTAGAGATTTGGCCTATATAGGAAAATAGTCCTCTTGCACATAGTGGGAGAAACCCTAGTCACCCAATAAGTCTTTCCAAGTCTTCCTCTTTTTCTTTTTTAAATATTAACCTGTATTTAAAAGTTATGTTAAGTCCTAACTAATTCAAAGTCTAATAGGATCAGGCCCTAAAAGGAGGAGGCTTTCAATGTCTGTTTCTTTATTTACAAGATTCAACTGAAAACCCTATTTAAGAGAAATTGAGTTTCTTTTATTTATACCAACAAGTCATTGGTAGCCTTCTTTTTTTCTTGAAAAAAAGTGCACGAGTTGTGATGGTTCTTTTTGTTTGTTTTTTTAGTGTACAGACCAACAACTCTTGGTTGCTTTCTGATTAGCTTGGGTACAAAGGAAGGGTTTTACTTTTGTGATTACAGTACTGATTTTTTCTTCAATTGTTTCCATTAAGTTTCCATTGAATGAACTTGTTTCATGCAATAATGTATCAAGATAGTAATTTTGTGGATATTTATGCCAGTATAAGTTAGGTAGATTAATTGGGATGCCCCGTTTGCTTCTTTGAATTTTTTAAGGATTTTGGTTCAAAAATTCTATTTAAACAAAGATTATCCTCAAATATCATACGACTATACAAAAGAAGAAAAAAAAAGAAGAAGGAATATACTAATTTTGGGAGATCGAATTCTTGTTTAGTAGAATAGTAATATTTGCAAGGTAGTATAATGAAAGGGGACTATTGTACTACTAAGCCGCTTGCTCTCCCTGAAATTGGTATCATAAGTGAGATTATTAAGTAGCTAAAGAAGCTCAAAAAGCAATTTTTCTATAACTTGTAGCTTTGCTCTCCTATTGTCACATATCATTGTTTTATTTCAGGTGAATTATGTTCAAAAGAGGTTGTAGTGTCATATCTTGAGTTTGGATTTGGTTACAATATTATCTGGGCATTTTATTTTTAATAATTTAGACATATTAACTAGTTTAGTTTATGGTGTGATTATAATTAATTTGTGCTATAGGTCATGTTTCTTTATTTTTACGTAATGCCTATAAGGCTGTTTGAATTAACTGTTTAGGTACAGTTGATAACTAATAATTGATATCTGATGTTTGATAATTGTTATTGTTTATAATTCAAAATATCTAAGGGGTCTTTGGTTTGGAGTTTGGCTAACAGCTATCTATTGTTAGTTCTACTTGAATGGATTAAATAATTTTAATTTTAAATAACAACAATCATCAGTCATCAGATATTAACTATTAGTTATCAACTATATTTAAAAAGTTGATAATTGTTTGTAATTCATTTGATTAGAGCCAACAACTAATAATTATTTGTGAAAATCCAAAATAAGCACTCCCTATATGACAAATGATGGATATATTATAATCCTTCTATTATTAATGTATCTTTGGTGTTATTAAAAGAAACGATTATTGGCTCCAATATTGAATTTATCAAAAACTATGCATGT